TCTCTCTCCTTGTGTGAGCAAGGCCCAGAAGTCGCCCTGAGACAGAATCTCGTCCTACCTTCTGAGCAGTCGCAACCCCAAACGTCCGCCTATCCATATCCCCACCTTTGTTTTCCCCGTTCCAAACTCGTGGATTTCACCCAAGTCCACTGGCGCCCATAAAAATTCAAGTATTCAGAGCAATCCCACACCCTACCCTGAATCAGACAGCTACAAGGAAGCGGCGGATAAAAGGGCAGACCACAAAGGTGCGAACATGAAGGGCAGGTAAGGGACGACCAACTCGTGAGGCTTGAAGTCTCAATGAGTGGTAAGGACGAAGAAGAGGAGGGCGGTAAGAAGACTTACTCTGAATTTAAAACTTGCTGTAAAGTATTGTTGTATTTCCTCAAAGTATGTGTCTGAGGTTATATTTACAACTGCTAGTCTCCGGAATTATTATGTCCCATAACAAATAATTTAATTTAATGACACTATCAATAATTCAGTCTATGTAGTGTTGAATGGTATGGTGGTTAGTAGATAATGAACTTAAAGGGTTTGGAGAGATGTAGTCAAGACTTAATTTTAGGTTGTATTTCAGCATTCAACTGGAGAGTCTAAGGAAGACCATAAAACACCTCACTGTAAGTGATGTCCCATTGGAGATTCAAAGTGTATACATCACAACTGTTTCTGCTCGAGCCAATTTGATTGGTGGCATTGTATTGTGAAAGGGCACCAATGGTGGAACTAATAAAGAGCAGCAGTGAAACTGCCTATTCTGTCACTGGAGATGTGAGAAACTTTGTTCTGGGTTCTGAGTATTCATTCTTTGTTTCAGACCATTCTTGGCCATTTTAGGAGGAGCCAAAGTTGCAGATAAAATTCAGTTGATTGAAAATTTACTGGATAAAGTGAATGAAATGATCATAGGAGGTGGAATGGCATATACATTCCTGAAGGAGCTAAAGGGCCTGGAGGTACTGTTTAATTTGAATTTCTGAAATATATACGTAGTGTAGTATGAGGGTTATCCAGAAAGTAAGTTCTAATGGGCTATTGAAAAAACGTGAATTTACATGGTGCTATCCAAAAGTTCCGAAATATATTAATAAAAACTATTATGTCTTACCTTGATTGTATTCTGCACCATCACCATCAAAGTAGTCCCCCTTGGGAGTGCATACACCTATCCCAGTGTTTCTGCCACTTTTGAAATGCATCCTGGAAGTCTTTCTTTGTTAGGGTGTTTAGTACCATCTGCATTTCTGTGTGAATTTCCTCAACTGTATCAAATCTTTGCCCTTTCAGTTTGATTTTCATCTTGGGGAAGAGAAAGAAGTTGCATGGAGCTAAGTCTGGCGAGTACAGTGGGTGGGGAATAACCGCCATATTGTTTTTAGCCAAAATTTCTGCACAGTGTAAGCCGTATGTGGTCGTGCATTGTCATGGTGGAATACCCAGTCGTTCATGCACCACTTCTCTTGACGTTTTCTCATCATGTCCTCCTTCAAACGCCTTAGAACATCACAATAGAACTCTTTATTGACTGTCTGACCAGGAGGGATGAACTCCTCATGAACAATCCTGTCAATATAAAAAGAAAACAGATCAACATGGACTTAATGTTGCTCTTGACTTGTTGAGCTTTTTTGTCCCAGGGTCGTAGCCACAAACCCAGCTTTCATCACCNTACCAAAAAGTACATGCCAGAGTGGAACACTGCAAAGACATGTTACAGTCGGCCGAAAGTGATACAAAATTTACAAAAT